CCTGCCCCACCTGCCTCATCCAGGCTCCGTGTCCTTCTATTGCACTGGCTCTTCCTCAGAGGGACCCGTCGGGTGGATAGCGCCTGGCTCTGCCCTGACCAGCAGCTGGCGCGTCCTCAGGGCCACGTGGGAGGGTGGCCGGTGGCCGATGGAGCAGAGGCTGCTGAGCTCACAGCCCGGGTGCCCCCGGAAGTAGCAGGAGCCACACCCCCAGCCCCACCACACCCTGCCCCCACCCCAGCTCCAGCATCAGAGCTTTGGGGTTTGTGAGGGGGTAGCATCCCCTCTCCTGCCTCCTCCAGGACTGGGTTCTGGTTCTGAAGGCCCGGGGAGTGGTGGGTGGTGAGGTGGGGACATGGTTGCCAGGCGCACCTGCGGGCGGTCTCCCACTGGTGCTCACAGCACTTTCAATAGGCAGTGAACTCTGACCCCTCCCGGCCTGGGCTGGAGTGAACTCTGACCCCTCCCGGCCTGGGCTGGAAGCCAGGGCTCAGCTTCTCTGTGAGAGGGTCCTCACGGCCTGTTCCCAGCAGCGTGTCCCGTTGGCGGCAGCAAGCGCAGCCAGGTCCCCGGGCGGCACCAGTGCTTTGGACGCGTGTCTTTCTGGTGCAGATGCAGGTCTTCCCCGGGAGGAGGGTCCGTGGCGGGTTGGGGCCAGCCTGGGCAGTGGGCACCTGAAGCCCTGGTGCAATTTGGGGTCACCATCCCCTGGCTCACAGCCCCAGGGGCCCTGGAACTCAGGGGCTCCCTCTGGCTGCAGGCTGGCGGTCACTGTGACTTGAGGGCACCTGCAAAGGCGAGTCCTGAGTCTCAGTGCCGCAGTGAGAGCAGCTTCTGGGAGAAAAGGGAAGATCAGAGGGCACTCAATCAGCGAAGGTGGGCGGGGAAGGGACCATAAGGGGGTGAGGGCACTGCCATGGGGGTGCCAGGGGAGGCCCTGAGCCCTGGCTGCTCTCTGGCCCGGAGGCAGCGGGCATGTGCGGCAGTGGCGGGCGTGTGCGGCGGCGGCTGCGCGAACACATTCAGAGACTGGTCTGCCCCTCTGCCTGCAGCGTTCCCGGGCGTCGAGGCCGTGCAGGCCCACCTCTCGCAGGACCGGCTGGTGGTGGCGTGGCAGAACTCCACTCCGCACGTGGACTCATGGAGGGTGGAGTGGTCCCCCGATCTGGACTCCGAGCCCCCCACCGTGTGCTGGGAGGCGGTGACCGGGGCCAGGAACTGGACGATCCGGAGAGGTAGCCACACCTCCTAAGGAGATGCGCTCCTTCTCACTGTCTCCACGTCCTTCGCGGAGGCCCAGGCGGGAACGTGGTGCCAGCACTTGACGGGCTGGGCGCACACTTCTCGGCTTTCCCAGCGCGGCTGGACGGGCACCAGGGGTCAGACCAGGCCTGGCACACCAGATAGCCTTCCCAGACCCCCCGACCGTGTGGGTGGCCCCAACGTTGGTCCATCTGTCAGACCAGCACCTTCGGTCTGGCCCCTGTTTCAGAGCCGGCCCCTCCCCAGGGGCTTGGTGCGGGAAGGCTTTTCCTTCAGGGAGGCCCCTGATCCGCGTGGGACTGAGTGAGGCCGTAGTGCCCACCAGCCGAACTTCTGCTTACCGTCCTGCAGGGGAGACCTCCACCTGCAGGGATGCAGGCCGAGGACCGGGCCCAGGGCGTCCGCCTGCGCAGGACGTGCAGGGACAGCACCTGCGCCACGGCTGGGCCCCGTGGAGAAGGGCCTGTCTCACTATCCTTCCGGGGGGCCGTCCTTTCGTCAGAGGGTGCAGCTTTCATTCTAAGAATTAATTTAAAAGGAATAGATACTAGACCCTCCGACCTGACTTCCCCATTTTCCAGGTGGCGTTAGACGAATAGGAGAGCTTGCGCAAGTCTTAGGCCGTGACTCTCAGGCTAGCATTTCCTATCTGCCACGCCCTGCGTGTAATGCTTGCTTTCTCTTTACAGATGAATTAGACCCTCTCCAGTGCTATAACATCTCCGTGTATCCAATGTGGCAAGACCGTGTGGGCAAGCCGTGTTCTGTCCAGGCCTACGCCAAGGAAGGCGGTGTGTGGGGGTGGGCCCTGAGGCTGGGGGGACTGGGGCCTGTCTAGCCATGGCCGATTTCAGAGCAGGAGGGAGAGGGAGAGAGAAACATCAATGATGAGAGAGAATCACTGATTAGCTGCCTCCTGCACGTTCCCTCTGGGGATTGAGTCCGAAACCTGGGCATATTTCCTGACCGGGAATCAAACTGTGACCTCCTGGCTCACTGGGAGGGCGCTGGGGGCTGGCTGGGGGCTGACAGTCTCTCCCCTTCTCGTCAAGCCCCGTCAGTAGGTCCCGTGACCAAGGCAGAGGGCATCGGCCTGAACACTGTCACCATCAGGTGGGAAGAGATCCCCAAACATCTGAGAAACGGCTTCATCTGCAACTACACCATCTTCTACCAGCCCGCGGGCGGGGGGGAGTTCGGTGAGCGGCTTCCAGCAGGTGAAAACCCCAGGACCCACGGGAGGGGGTGCCACCTCTCCGCGTCCCTCGGCTCCCCTGGCCCCGCCGCAGACGGGGGCTGGTGCACCCCCGGTTGAGGTTTTGGAATCAGATGAGAGGGGAGTGTTAGTCCCTGCAAGTCTGTAGGACCTGGGGGTTAATCCGATGTGCTGGTCGGGCTCGGACGGTGCGCCTCCTGGCAGCTCCCGGCTGTATTCCCGCCGGGCTTGCCGGTGCAGCGCGGGCAGACCCTGGGCGCTGGCACTCAGCTCGGAGACGTGCTGGGGTCCAACCCCAGCAGGTCCAGGGGTCCCCAAAGGTGTGGACGAAGTCGGCGAAGAAGGAATGACACAGAGACAGTGTTCAGTTGATCAGCAGCCTTGCCAGGATCTCTAGCCAAGTTATGGTCAGGATCTCCAGCGAAGTTCTGGTTAGGATCTCCAGCCAGGTTCTATGTCCATGTTCTCTTGCTAGGTTCTCCAGGCAGGTTCAGTCGCCAGGTTCTGTCCAGGTTCTCTAGCCACGTTCTCTTGCTAGGTTCTTCAGCCAGGTTCTGTAGCCAGCATCTCCAGCCAAGTTCTGTCTAGGTCTTCTAGCCAAGTTCTGGTTCGGTTCTCTCACTAGGTTCTGTCTCAGAGATTTTATTCCCTCCCTAACTTCAGGGGAAAATCCCTACCTGGGGAAACAACCTTTCTCAGAGAGGTGACCTTGGTTAAAACACATAGTGCCAAGAAGGTGAGCAAACATATTAAGAACAGTATGCCATATATGCCAGGTCCCTAGAAACAGCAAGGATGGACCGGCTCCCGGCAGAGACGGCTCCTTGGCGCCACGCCTCCTGTCCCTGCTGAGTCACCTTTTCTGGGATCCACACTCTCTGCCGACACCTGCCTTCTGGGCGAGGCTGAGAGTCCTGTCGAGGCTGATTTGTTGTGATAAACGCACCACCACCGTTCGGAAGTGCACGACCACAGGCGTCGGGCAATCCGCATGCCCTGCCCTTGTCTGCCCCTGTCTGCCCCTGTGCAGAAATGTGTCCGTCAATCCGTCCCTTCCCGCCGCCTCTTCCCGCGTCCCGGCACCCACAGCACCGCCTGTCCTGTGCACGCACCTCGCTGATCCTCTAGACGAGGAGTCAGCCCGCGTGCCTGCCAGGCCTTACTCCTTCCACTCACGGTCGTGTCTCAGTTGGCCCGGGCGGGCGGGTGTGCGAGTCCTCGGCCTTATCGCCGAGTGGTATTCTGGTGTGGGCAGCCACACTTTGTTTATCCTTCGTGGGTGGCATGGGGCCGCTTCCGCCTCGGCCACTGTGATGGGTGCTGCTGTGAACATGCCTGATGGGGTCTTGGTGGGAACGTCTGTGTGAGTCCCTGCTTTGAACTCTCCGGGACAGAGACCTGGAAGAGGGCTCCTGGGCCGTGCGATGCTTCTAGCTTAGCTTCTCACAGAACCAGGCTTGCCGCCGCGGCCTCACATGCGCAGCGGCCAACGAGGACTCCAGTCTCCACCCCTTACCCACCCTGGCTATTGGCTGCTTAGAAACCATCACGGCTGCCCTGGCAGTACAGGTGCTGCCTTGAGTGGCTTTGATCGGCATTGGTTGGCACTTTCTTTGGAACTAACCATGTTGAGCCTCGTGGCGTGTGCTTGTTGGCCGTTGGTGTACCTCCTCCGGAGAAAGTCTCTCCTCGCCCATTTCTCAGTTGTCTTTCAGTTATTGAGTCATAAGAGGTTTTCACATGTACTCTGGATACAAGTTCCTAACCAAATACCTGATTTACAAATGTTTCCCGTTCTGTGGGTTGCCTTTTCACTCTGATTGTGCCATTTGACGCACAGAAGCTTTTAATTTTGATGAAGTCCAGCTGAGTCTGTTTTCTTCTGTTGCCTGTGTGTTTGGTGTCAGACTGATTCTTCCCAGCTTGCCTGCTGGAGTCCTATAGTGTGAGTTCCTACCCGGGGCCCTCGGTCACCTTGAGAAGCTCGTCCTGAGGAGAAGAGGGTTAGGGTGTGAGCTGCCCAGCCTGGTTCTTACTCAGTCGGACCCGCTGTGTTTCCTTCAGCCAAGACGGTCGGCGCCAGCACCCTGCAGTGCGGCCTGGAGTCCTTGGCGCGCGGGACCTCTTACTACGTCTGGGTCATGGCCAGCACCAGCGCCGGCGGCTTCAACGGCACCACGATCAACTTCAAGACGCTGTCCATCAGTGAGTAGCCCTCCCGCCCGCGCGTCCCCGCCTTTCTCTCCGGCCGTGGGAGGTGGCCTTGCCCAGGCAGGGTGCCCCTGGGAGGGTGGCCCGCAGGGTGAAGAGCCACCTGCTGGGGTGGGCGCAGGGGCTCCTGGAGGGCCCGGGGCGAGGAGAGGAGGGAGGGCAGGGATACCGAGCTGAATTCAGAGAGACTGGCCATTGGCTCCTTCCTCGCGGGCGGCCCCAAAGCACCTTGAAGAGGAGGTTCAAGTTCATGCCAATTTCACTCTCAGCCCCAAACCAGCTGTCACTCAAGACCGTCCCCTCATGTCAGAGGTTACTGGGTGGTGGGGCTCAGAGGGGGGTCTTGGTGGAACAAGCACCATCGGAACACAGGCAGGGACTTACCCTCAGCATTTTGGAGCTTTTTAAGCAAAAAAGTACATCCTATGTTCTACTTCCCAGCATTTACATTAGAAACAGGAAGCAAGAAACTCTAATCGATACAGCAACAGTATCAAATGCATTGTAGTGTCACAAGATGGTTGTGAGAAACGGTCACGAGCGACAGAAGATGGGACGAGGAGGGAAGAGGAGGGGGTGGGAGAAGTGGATGTTCCCACCTCCCGGGCCGAGAGCTGAGATTGAAGGAGGCAGTGACACGGAGCGAAGGAAGGAAGTTGCTGTCGCAGCTGATGGAGCTGCTGTCAGGGGCTCAAAAGCCTCTTGCTTGTCACCTTTCCAAAAGTCTGGGAGCAGCTTACGTTCTGGAAAGTGTGGGTGTAGAATGTGTCTTTGCTGAGAAAACATGCTCTGCTCATGGACTAACGCTGCCTTTCTGGAGTTCTTCCTCAAATTGCTCTTTGCATCTTTTAAAATCGTGTTGTGTGTTCACGCCGTGGGGCTCAGGCTGTGTTAGCTGATGGCGTGTCTCCAGGGTCGCACGGGGCAGGAGCCGGCCTTGGCCTGGGCGCTTCTGGGGCTCAGTCTGCAGAGGACGGGGCGCTCGGCTCTGTCCCCGAGCCCCAGGCGAGTCCCACGGGGCAGCCAGAGTGCAGACCCCAGGCTCTGCCTGCTGCCCACCAGCAGCTTCTGTTGTTTTCAATGAAACCCAGACTCCTGCCCTGGCTGTCGCCGCACCTGCCCGGCCCTCCCTCCGCTTCCTGCAGCTGCTTCCAGCACTGCTCGCCGGACGCCTTCCCACGTCTTGGTCTTTCGGGGGCTCCTTCTCCCCACCAGCAGGAGCCCACGCTCCTCTCCTGCCTCTCCCTCTCGGAGGAGTCAGTGTGACTGTCCGACTCTCCCGGGACGTGCCCCGCGAGCGGGGCCGTGGGGTTCTTGCTTGTTGCGTTGGTTTTCTTACCCGAACAGTGTTTGCTCCACAAGCAGCCACTCGGGACGAAGCAGGAGGCTGGGCCCTGACCACAGTGCCCGTCCACACCACTCAGGGGGAGAGGGGGAGGGAGCGACCGGCGCTGACTCTGTCCTTCCCCAGGTGTCCTGGAGACCTGCCTCGCAGCGGCGCTGGGCGGGGGCGGGCTGCTCATCCTCAGCGTCCTGGCTGCGGCCTGTGGCCTCCGGAAGCCCAAGTGAGTGTGGGAGCCAGGCCGCTGGCAGGGTGCCCGGTGGGGAGGGCACGCCACCTCAAGGCGGTGCCACTCGTTCCCCGGGCACACGTCCATGGCGTCCCTCACGTCCACGTCCCGGGCTCAGCAGAGCTCTGACCCCACAAGAGGACTCTCCCCCCCGCCCTGTGCACCTGCCAGGCCCTTCTGAGGCCGCCCCCGTGTGAGCAGCCGCGGGCCTCGTCTGACAAGGCCACAGCTTGTCTCCCAGGCAGAGCCAGGAGTGGTGACCCCTGGACCGTGGAGTTCGGGCGCTGGCCATCCAAGTGCTGGGCACAGAGGGCTCCTGGCTGGAGGGGCAGAGCCGAGGGCTGGTGGTAGAGGGGGACAGGAGGGTCCGGCTGGCCACCACCGGGAAGGAAGCTGTCTTCAGGGCGCGGTGCTGCCGGCCCCAGAGAGCCTCCTGCCGTCAGGGAGCTCAGGGCTCCCTCCCCGGAGGCCTCCCATCTCCACGAGCAGCTGGCAGTCATGGTCCCGCCAGCGTCAGCCGCAGCCCCGGCAGGTTGTAGCCAGGGCTCCAGGGCAGACTCGTGTCGGACAAGTCCCTTGGCCTTAGCACTGCTCTCCCCCATCACCCTCAGAAGAAGGCCCTGGGGGTCTGTGGGGGCTGGGACGGGGGG